GGGACTTAGACCGCTAGAGACTGCAGGAGAAGAGGCTGCAGGACCGAGGATCAGGTGAAAATATTTTTTTATTTGAGCCCCTAGACCAATATGGGCACCTTACACCTGCAGTGCCGGGGTAATGCCACTGTAAGGTTTAATTTTGTAGCTTTCTGCATTTAGATTTCATAAGAGAATGGGTTCATAAAACAGAACAGTCAACTCACTGATGTACCCAGGGGTTTGTGCTGCTAGTGCTTCTTGGGGGTGGGGAAGATTTGCTGATAGTGGTCGTCCATGGGCATTAGTGAATGTGGTGGGATGGGCGCCTGTGTTAGAGCCGCGCTTTTAACGGTTCTCTGTCCAGTCCCACCCAGCTCACTGACATTACTGGTTGCCAGGGGCTTGGTGGGATGCCAGCCAGAGCGTCCCGCTCAGCTCCCTGGCAACCGATGACGTTGGCGAGCTGAGAGGGAAGCTGGACACAACATCACAAGTTGCTAAGAGCAATTAGCAACCTGGGACGCTGTGGTTGCCCCCACTCCCCAATGACCACCAACCCTACTGTACATAGCAAGTAATGAATCCCTGGGCATATGTGCCATTTTTTAGTCCATAATACTACCTATCATGTTTAAGCCCTGAAAAAGGGGGAGATTCTTGACCACCCCGAAATGCATTGGCTTTTCTGTATTTTCTTTATGTACCTAGTCTATTATTTCACAATTCTGGACTCTCATTCTGTCTTGATTGGCGCTCTCACTGGGCTATACATATGCATGTATCTTCAACCATGTATTTCCTTGTATGTGGGACATCCCATTCTTATTGAGAGCGGCCTTACCAGAACCATTGTGCTTTATCACATTCCATCTGATTTTCAGAATATTTTGAATATTTGAATATTTGAATCCAGCGCTTCACCTGTACTTGTTCCACTAAGACTCAACAGATAGAGCATATTCAGGGCAGTCTAATGCCTCGTTCGTACGGGGGAATCTGGCTTTTTTTGCAAAAAGAACCTATGGATTCCTGCGGCAGGAATGCCAGGTGTCCACAGGCGACAGTGGCCACATCTGTAAGCAGCAGTCCACATTTAATCAAATATGATAGCATTACATGTGGTTAGAAATAGATGATTGTCACTGGATGCAGGATAGATGAGTCCAGCGACAGTCATCTATTCCAAACCCCATGTAATCGTGTGGCCCCTAGCATGCCGCTTACAGATGCGGCTACTAGCGCCTTCTCATTTACGTGAATGGGTACAGCGTCTGCATCTGAACAGGACACCTGGGATTCCTGCTGCAAGTATCCCAGAATGCCCAGTGTAAATGGGGGAAGGGTTAGTACATCTGCTGAGTCTGTTTACAACATATTCTTTCACTTCCCTCTGTTTCACTGGAAGAAGTGTGGGAAAATCTTAATAGTGTTGACACAGACAGCATTAAAAACATTTTCATCCACACACTTTCAAATCTGCCTGTATAATCACCTGGAGATCTATCAACAACTAAATAGTGCAAGCAGGGCTGTCCCTACACTATTTGCAACCCAAGGCCGGGGTGTGGGGGATTTGTGAAGGGGGCTGTGGGCTTGCATTGTGCTGGCGGTGCATGTTACTATCCTGAGGTGAAGGAGTGGCGCTCGTGTTACACGTTACAGGGGGGATCTGTGCTGGCAGTGCACGTTAACAGGGGGGAGGTGCTGTGGGGGGATGCACGGTACCTCTGTCTGGCATCCTGGTTGCCAGTAGCTGGGCAGGCCCCAGTATCCTACTCAGCTCCTGGCAACCAAGTGACATCAGTGAGCTGGGTGAGGTGCCAGCCAAAGGAAAGGCCCACATGGCCCAATGAGATGCCACCTTAGGCAACCTCCTCAGGCAGCCTCATTACAGGGATGGCCCTAAGTACAAGGGCCGCTCTGGTTGGATACAGTTTGATTGGATAATTTAGGTAGGTCCTCGTACAGTAAAGGTACGTCCACATGGAATGACTGATACTGGCTGTTTTTTTTATATTGGCCAGTAGGGAAGTGGTTAAAGAATAATTGTAGTCTGAGCACCATTATCCTTTAAGTGGCCCCCTGCTCTCCAGCGTCACCCCCAAAATCTTATACTCACCTGTCCTGACTCCTTCCGAATCTTCACGGCCTGCTGGAAGTTGCAGAACCATCACTGTGAACTCTCCCAGACTTCTGCTTCTGTGCTGAAAACCCTCCATTCATTCCTATGGAGACCCCATCTATTATAATGTACATCCCAGTGGTGTATGGCCTCTCCATCAGAATGAATAAGAGATTTTTCTGAGCATGTGCAGACCAAGTAAATGCCCGGACTGGAGACTTAGTAGAAAAAGCTGTTTTGCTCCCAGTACGTGGGACTGGGAAGATCAGGCAGGAGTGAGGTACTCTAGTTATCCTTTAAACCAAAATATGTACAGGGCTGTCATTTGTGATCTCTTCTGCTGGAAATGCTAGTTCCCAGGCCGTCATACTGATCCCATGGCTTCAGCCATTTCTAGTTCGGTGACCCAGAACAAGTATGCAGTTTATGATACTGACTGAGGTCTAGCTGTAATTATGTTTCATTTCAGTGCCTCAAAAAGTGCTAAGGCCTCATTCACACCAGAAAAGGCCGGCACATACAGCTCCGTGCTGCTTGCGCGGCCGTATCTGGCAGCTCCAAGGAAGGACAGGTGCGGCGTGTGATTAGTATGCAGCATCTGTCCTTCTCTATGGGAGTGCGCGGCCATACGCCGCCCTACGCTAACCCCAAGTGCAGGTCCGTACGGGTGCGGCTGTCCCGGCTCGGACACAGACAGGATTCATCCTGTCAGCGTACGAGTACGGACACCCGCACCCGCATAGACGTGTACGTGCTGACTTTTTCTCGTGTGAATGAGGCCTAAGAGTGCAGACATGACAAGGCCAAAATAGTTACATAGTTAACTGTTCTCTGAGGAAACTAAACGATTTTTGAATGATGCAAAACTCTCTGCTGATACCAGTTCATGTAGAAGAGAGTTCCCCAATCCTACTGCTCTAACAGAAAAAAATCCCCATTGCGGATAAATCTTTTTTTCTCCAATATTCAAAACATGAGCAAGAAGTCAGCCCACATATACCACTCAGTACAGCTTTCCTTTAACTCAAAACATTTTATAATAAATCCTAATAGTGCCTTACAATTTGTATGTACAGTATACTTAAAGTGTCATTAAAGTCATAAAACGGAAATTATATTTTTGCTTCAGCATGCCATTTTACCATCACTCACCCTGTATCTTTAAATGTTTGTGGCCATTTAATCCCCATAAATACCTTTGAATAGATGAGATCCACATGCATGTACATTTCCTGTATGCCTGTGTCCACATTTCATTCTGCCTCCCTAATATTTCCCATTGTAGTCACACAAGCAAAAGCAGTGTCCTCAGAAACAAGAGCATTGTTTTTTTCACTATTCCCTCACAGCTCCACCCATCTTCCTCAATGCCCCTCCCAAATCCCCCCACCTCTTTATTTTACCAGCCTCCTACAGCCTGGAGCCCAGCTGCATGTGATATGTGGCATTGTGGGAGATGACCCAGAATGAGATGGCCTGTAAGCTGCTATTCAGAAGAGTCAGGGATATGCAGTGTTTATAAAAGTAAGAACGTACTTTGGAGCATAATAACAAAGCATATTTATTTATTTCATAATGATTGTTCTGAATAGCTAATGTGATGCTGATGCCTTTAGATCTCCTTTAATACCAGATTCATTCAGCACAGGGATGAAAAGTAGCTTGTTGGAAGGTTATGTAATTTACACTAATGAAGCAAAGTAATAATAGTTTTTACCTGTATTTGTTTATTTAAAAAAAAAAACAGCTATACGTCCAAAGGTTACAAATAGAACGACCACTCAAAGTGTTTTCATTACAATAAATAGATTTTGTTTGCGGAATACATTTGTAACAAATTGCAAATTGCCACTTTTCAGCTCTTACAAAACATAGAAGAAAACAGGGTTTCAATATCTACAATATACTGCCTTTTCAAACCCCTTTCTGTGTGTTAGTTCTCTGGTTGCCATTCAATTCCATCTGCTTTACTACTTAGAGAGTAACTGAAAGTGACACTAAACTCAGGAGATAAATCTTAAAATTGCATTAAAGTACCCTAACTATTAACAAAAATGTATCATATTTGTGTATCACTCGGCTGCAGATCCTCAAATCATCTCTGAATTGGTGCTGACACTGTCCATTCTTCTGGAGGGGGGCTACTTTTGTTCCCCATGGTCCCTGTGTGTGTTGTAAAGCAGCCACTGCTCCAAGCTCACTCCTGTGATGGACTACAATCTCAATACAAATTGGTAAACTAAACATGAAATCGTAGTCCATCATGCGAACAGGCTTGGAGTGGTGACTTTACAACACACACAGGAACCATGGGGAACAAAAGTAGTCACCCTCTAGAAGGAAGGACAGTGTCAGCACCAATTCATAGATGATTTGAGGATCCGAGTGATGCACAAATAAGATACATTTTTTTGTTAATAGTTAGAGTACTTAAATGCATTTTTAAGATTTAACTCCTGGGTTCAGTGTTACCTAAAGGGATCACTTGAAATATTATAGACACTGACACTTTTGGGGGCTGATTAATAAATGTTCTAGCAAGCGTATTGCTGCGCAGATGCTGATTGTACAGCACTAGCACCACTAGATGGCGATGAAGAACCTAGGAATCTCCTATGTTCCCCAGCGTCATCCAGCGGTGCTACTGCGGGGCTAAAGGCATCCACCCAGCTACATGCTGGCCAGAACATTTATAAATCAGCCCCTTAGTTTGAAAAATTATTACAAGACTTAGCTATCCACAGACTTGTACTGAGGTAGAAGGAGACGGAGTCATTGATCACGCACACAGCATCAGCAGATAGCGCAGTCATATGGACATATAGTCAAGGAATGAATATTTTAGAATGTATTTAAAATATTATGTGCTAGTAATCATATTCACATTATCTAAAACAATAAATTAAAAAGATAATTTTTTTACATTTTGGCATTAACATTTATATTATGTTACAGAATGTTACATTGCATCGGTAGTAGGGATCTTTACTTTGTTTTTCAGTATGACAAAGTCCTGGACAAATGTTGGCATATAAGACAATGGAATCCAGAGATAGTTGGCATCCGTTCCAACACTGTAACGAGTTCTGGGATGTTGGCTGGTCAGAGCATGTTCCATACACCATACAACAATGGACAGGTCAGCGGTCCGGATCTGGTTTAGTTTTTGTTTCTTTGCAGCATCTGCACAGAAAAAATGATCATTAAAGTCCAAGTTGAGGAAAAGCAATGCAGGCCATTTGAGGTTTGTATAACAGTTCAAAAACAAAACAAAAGCTCTAATGTAAAATGTAACACGTTATAACAAGTTGCTACAATTTTAGATGTGATAACCAAAGAAGGCACTTTTGGCGAGTCTCTGACCATACAATGACTGGTTTGCAAGGAGCAAAGCGAAAAAAGCAGAACATGTAAAGTCCACATTTCATTTTAATTAGACTTTTATATCATAAGAAGCCAATGCAAAGGGGTTTCCTTCATCAGGGATATGTACTGTTGAACAAAGCATATACTGGACTGATAAAATTGGAGGGATCCTCAAAGGTAAATTGTACACGCTGCAGATTTCATGTTAGCTGCTTAACTGAAATCTAGAGCGATCACAGCGATTGGAAAAAAAACAACTGTCTGACAATACTCACCTTCAGTCCAGACCTGCCCTCCGCAACATATCTACTTTGCCACAAGATGTCCTCATTCTTTCAGGTTGATTGACAAAGAGCTTTACTTAACCCAGACGACTAAGAAAATAATAAGAGTACAGGGCGTCATGGGCCAGCACCCAGAGGGTTACCACCAAGATGCACTGTACTCACTGTGTAATGGTGCAGATCTGCATCATTGAGAACTGCCCAGTCGATAAAAGAGTCAAAAACAAAAAGGACCCTGTGGACCTGAAGACCTGGGATCCTCTGGCTGGCATCCCACTCAGTTCTGGCAACCAGTGGTGTCACTGGTTGCCAGGAGCTGGGTGGGACACTGGCCACAGTGTCCCAGGTTGCTAAGAACTGGGCGACAAGATATGTATTGCTCTTACACATCTACCCGCCCGGCTCTTAGCAACCTGGGAGAAAGGGGGAGACATTGTGCAGCAGGGCTTCCACTATACAACAAACATGCTGCTGTGCCTGCTACCCCCCCATGTGATCCAAAGAGATGTTGCCTGAGTCAACAGCCTCAGGCTACCTCATTAAAGAGAGAATTGATGTAAGAAGAAATGCTGGACCAGGAAGACAAGTTGAATGGATTGGCCAGTCTGTGTAGTGCAGAAATTGTGTGTGAATTGTGTAAGTTTAACTGACACCACCTATGGGATTGAAGCCCCTATGTTGATTTTTCAAGTAAAATTGTGTTCAGATCTGACAGTAGCTAAAAATTATCTATGAAGAAAATCAGGTTAGTCAATGCTTGCCTATTATAGCCAAGTGCATGTCCAGCTTGCTTGCTGACAGCCACTACACAGGAAAATTAGATGACCACAAACCAGCTATGTTCAAACTTTCTTTTTTTCTTTTTATAAAAGCCTTACACAAGCGATGAGTTAAAACCTCTGACAAGTTTCATGCGCACCGGTGCTTAGTCACTGTGTGCGTGAAATGCGTCAGAGGGGTCTCAATTGATCACCTATGTAAGGCTTTTATAAAAGAATAAAGAAAGAGTTCTAACATAGCCCGTATGCGGTCATCCAATTTTCTTGTAGAAAGCTACAAATGATCTACTCTAACAGCAATACAAAGCAGCACTTATTTATTCCAAAGGGTTTTATTTTAACCCCTGAAAGATATTGGATATTAAAGGAGAACTATGGGGTCAGTGTTTTCCCCAATAGTTCTCCTTAGGGTAACGGGAGGACACAAACTAGCGTCCTCCCGTTACCCTAAGCTCAGTATACCGCGAGCTACAGCTCGCGGTATACTGAGACGCCGCAGCAGGAGCGGATCCCGACCTAGATGATGGGATCTGCCCAGCTGCGTGAGTGACAGCTGGCTCTGCCTATCTAGAGGCAAAGCCAGCTGTACCCGCCCCCTCCCCCGTCCGTTCCGCCAGTCAGCGCTGGCAGATCGGAGCGGGGAGAGGGGAATCCAGCCCCTCCCCCTGTCATGGCAGAGAGCCGTGACAGGATCGAGAGGTGAGCGAACCTGGTATGTGTTCGCTCACCTCCCGATCTACTGAGCCGACCTGTGACAGTCTCATTGTCACAGGTCGGCTAGAACTATGAGGTGAGTGGAAATCACTCATCTTATAGTTCTCCTTTAACTTCAAAAAATAAATGACTGAAACATACGAGATCAGTCTGATTCTAATCTGGTGCTCCTCTGTCTTTTGTCCCTTGTATCCATCAAGCCTCATTTTGTACCCAAGGAAGGCAAACTGAACCTCCCTGGGCAGCCATTGCCAATTTTGCCACCCTAGGGGTTGGGGAAGGGGGGGGGGCACACTTTGTCCCAATTTCACACAGGTCACTGGATACATTCCAACAAAAACACACGCACACACACCAATTCATACTAAAAAAATAACAAATACCTAGTTGTAAATAGTTTTCTCCATATTCTTCCTTAATACTGACGGGGAGTTTCTTCCAGATAGCTGTACGTTGTTGTAAAACCTTGATCGGATCAGACAAAGGTGTTTTAAATAGACCGGGTTCAATGCAGGAAACTTTCACTCCAAACGTCTTCATGTCTCGCCTTTACAGAGATAAAAAAAAGAAATAGTCTATGGATTTTTCAGTGTAATTCCATTGAAATACAAACTGCGTTTTATATGACAATAAACCAAGTCAAGGGAAGCAACTAATCACTAAGTGCCTGATTGTAAAACCCTTAAAATGGAAGTCAGTACATCTCTGCAACACATGCACGCTTCCTCGTATTTTATCCCTTTAAAAACCCTGCAAAAACAGGAAAATACTTTTTGATCAGCTAGTACATTCAGGTTCCTAATCCTGTTGGGCTTACTGTGACCTGACAACATTTTTGTGGACTGGGTGGTTTGCTAAACTACTTAAACTCACCCGCATTCCCATTTCCACATCATAGCTACTAGGGGTCGACTTATACAGATACCGATACCGATTATGGGCCACCTTTCAGGCCAAAATCAGGTGCTGATATTCTGTTTGCATCCGGCTGCAGAATCTTGTGCCAGCAGAAAAACACATAGCCCTGTGACCAGACTATGTGATCATCTGCCAGCGGCAAGATTCCACAGCCAGCAACTGAATGTAAACATCAGGCAGTGGGCCTGATTTTGGTCAACCCCTACAAGTGATGGCAGTGTAAACAGCAGGCAGGCGGGCGGGAGAAATAGCCAGAGGCTCCCCTTCACTGGTTTACTCAGTGTATAGCTGGGTGAACACCATTTGCACGGCATTGCTGCTAGATGGAGCCAAGGAGAATAGGAAATTCTGTGCTCCTTGGTTCCATTTAATGGCAGTGATGCAGTGCAAATGACAATCTCCCACCTATAAGCTGGGTAAATGAGCCTCTCAATGTCAATAAACTGTTAAAATGTCTTCTCTCCACACCTATAATCTCTATATTTGTACTACATCAGCCAAACAATCAGCATGAAAGCCAGGACACTAACCATGTTCAACAGAGAGTTTAGCAATGGCAACTTTCATTATTTTCCCTTGACAGATGTCCTTTAAAGTGTATTTAAATTGAAAACAAAAAAAAATAATATACAGTTATTTTCTCTTCTCTGTTTATCGGTATTCAACTAAGCAGAACTCTCATCTAACCAGAAAAAAATTCCCCTGTGTACTCACTGTTTTGCTGATGTGCGGCATGTATTATCCTGGAAATGATTGTGTGTCTATTTGTCTTAATTTGCTTTTGATTACTGCATTTCAATATTAATATGAAGTCAATACAGAGTTTATGTTATTGTAGAGTATGGTGTATGGCATTAATTAGACCTATTTTTAATATTAATTCTCAAGCAACCAGAAACTACATGTATCTGGAATCTACCAATCCCTGTGGATGCCGGATAACGGGGAGTTTACTGTATTACAGCTTACTAATCCTTAGATGTGATGTTTTCATTAGTTTTCTTATTTTTTATTAGACTTTTATTCTCATATTTTCACCTGCTGATTCTGCCAGATATACAGATTTCCAGTCCTAAGATGGCAATGCTCACTCAGCCTACTAATCAGGACAACAGAAACAGGATATGACTACTGGTCTCCCCGCATCTGGGATGTGGTTATGTAGTTCTCAGAGATAGCTAAGAACAACTAAAGGAATAACAGTGCAGGCAGAAAGCACAGGAAGATTTGGAATCCATAAGATTAGGAGTCCATAATTAGGAGTCCAAAGGCTTTCTGGAAGGATTAATGGGTAGTTTTTTGCAATTGTATATTTAACAAACCAAAAGGAACAGGAAATAAGTTAATTGTTAGGGTTCACATATAGTTTGAGCTAAATGGACAACTTACCGTAAACTGTCATTAAATCCTTCAACCCCATATTTAGAGCAAAAGTATCCACCACCACTAGCAGCCACTCTTCCACCAACACTGGATATGTTCACAATCCGACCCTTTGCTTTCTTAACCATGGGAAGCATGGCCAAGGTGACATGGATTAAGCCAATTAAATTAACTTCAATGGGTTCTCGAACGTCTTCAAGAGAGAGCCAGTCCATGGGAGCCAGAGTACCCATAATCCCAGCATTGTTTACTAAACCCCAAAGACCTACAAACAAAAAGAACATACCAAAAATATTACACATACAGTGTAAAACGACTTACTACAACATACAGAAACCAGCCGAGAATTTTAGAGCAATTTGTATCAGGAGAAATCTGGTAAAATTATTGATGGGAAATTATAAACCAGGGATCTGAAAAAGTACAATGTTAACAAGGAGATTAAAGTAGATGTGAACTCAAGTTTTCAGGTTCCAAGAAGGTGAACTACAGACATTGGATAATGTCCAATCCAAAGTAGAGCGTTGTTTGGATCATTTTTATAGTGGTCATGTGACCGTTTGCTGTTCACATCAATCTCTGCCAGTCCAGAGCAGTGGGTGCTGAGAACCCAAAGTCAAATGTAGCTTCCTGTGACCTTGTTACCTTGCACTGGATTTCAACTCCCAAACCCTGCTTTTCCTTGCTGTCCTGAGCAGGATGAGAATAGCCTGCACACAGGAATACTAACAGACACACAATGGACTGACTATGCCACCCCTGCCATGCTAAGTTAGTAGGTAATCATTGTCACCTTGGAATAGGAAACACAAACCACAAAGCTGGATTACATGGATGATCAGGTTAATTGTAAAAGATAGCAGTGAAAGGATGATTAGGTTGCAAAATATTGATTTGGTATTTTTAGGGTTTAAATGCACTAAAGGGTTTTATTAATTACCAATTCACAGGGCTCTTCACACTTGTGAATTTCTGTGAATGTTCATTTTGGGAAACTAATGCCATAAATGAGTGTTCTTAGGATATTTATGGGGAGCATAGGATTTATTTCCTATGCTTCTCAGCTCCATCTAGTGTCCATAATGTAGTATTACCTCAAAGTACATTTAAACAGCAAAAGAACATTCATTTTTGGCATGAGTTGCCGAAAACGAACATTCATAGATATTCAAAGAGCGAATGCAAATCATGTATATATAGACCACTAAGCTTCCATTCACACTTGAGCATTACTGTTTTCAGCCAATTTTGAAGCATTTGCTGCATGTGCACGTTTTTGAAACACTTTTTATGTGTTTTTAAATTTCAGGAGTTTTTGTTTTGGTCAATAGAAAGTAGTATCCTCTGTGACATCATAGTCATGACCTTCCATGTATCTGCTTCGTGCTTTTCCGTGTGGTGTCTTGTGTTATCAGAGAGTCCAATGGAAAACTGGAAAACTTCAAGCCCAGCTTCTTCACAGGCCCTCTAACATTTGCCAAGGTTCTTGTAATGGGCAGTACAGAGGTCATAGAGGTTCTTGTGGGCCCTTACCAGGCAGAAGAAAGTCTCCAAATCCAGCATGGACACTCCTGAATCCTCCATTTTGTTCATGTGCCTGAGGTTGCTAGGAGTAGATGACCACTTATGGTGCACCTTTTTTTTAGGTGCTCCCAGTAAAGCCTATGGGGCACATAACACAATTTTGCCTGGAAAAAAAGCTGTACTTTTTTTGGGTGGCAGCATGATGCTCAGGTGCGATTGAATACAACTGAAATTCCATTGAATTAAATAAAAATGGGACTCATCATGTTGAGCGCTGTCGTGCTTTGGGAAACATGAGACAAATTGTTTAGGTGTGAATAGGGGCTTAAAGACCTAGCAGGTTGCCTAATGTCTGGTGTCATACAAATTGCAATCCTAGATAATGTAAGCAACAGTAGGGAAGTTGCAGAAGGAGGATTTATGTTAGTGATGATGTCCCAGCAAGAAAGGTTTTTTTTTAGCCAAACGCTCTAGTAGGTAACTTACCTTGATTCCCAACTTCCTCCTTCACCCATTCTGCAGTTCTCCGTACATTTTCAGCATCAGTCACATCCAGTAATACAGTTTTAAGTCGGTCTGATGTCTCTTTCTTCAGATCACAAGCTCCACTTTCCGTCAGGCAGGTTGCTAGAACTCGGAATCCTTGTTTATCAAATATACGTGCAGCATAGTTTCCAAAACCGGAGTCACATCCAGTAATTAGAACATATTTGTCTGTAATTGTAGGAATCTTTGAGCAATCTCTTATCCACCACCAGATATAGAGAACAGCTGCACAGATTAGCACGTATACAAACATTGTCACTGTTTTCTTGATTAGCACTTCCTATAAACAAGTAGAAAGTCAAATGAATTAAACAAGCCTCTGCAGTATTTTTTTTTCTAATTTGAAAATTAAAAAAAACTTTAAAATTAGAGTAGATTGCTGTTTATAATATGTGTGTTAGCAGGGTTACATTTATAATTTTACCAGTTCAGAAAATCTGACAAAAGAAGTACACCGAAGAGATACACCTACAGTGTTTGCAATTATCTTACAGAAGGTCAGTTATTTTAACACATGGAATATGATCATTTCCTACTGGTTCTCATTTCCAGTAATTCCCCCAAAATTGCAGAAAAATTTAAATAATTTAAATAAAACAAATGTAATGTTTTCTTTGTGTTTGTGATGGGTTTCCTCACACAATCCAAAGACAGATTAGTCAGTCTACACTCAAATTGGACTGTAAGTGTGGTGGGGACAATAAATTGTAAGCTCCTTCAGGGTAAAAGTCCCAGGGTGGCTTTTTCTATTTATGTGCTGTATAAAAAATATATTTTAGCACTGTGTAAATATCGGAAATTAAAAATTCAGTGGTGGGCTTTATCATTCACCAGCTTGGAGTTAAAGTGGCACTAAACTCAGGAGTTACATCTTGAAAATACAATCAAGTATCTTACCTATTAACTGCATTCAAGTACCATACCTATTAATTGCATTCAACTACCTCAACTATAAACAAAAATGCATCTTATTTGTGTATCACTCAGATGTAGATCCTCAAATCATCTCTGAATTGGTGCTGATACTGTCCTTCCTTCTAGTGGGTGGCTACTTTTGTTCCCCATGGTCCCTGTGTGTGTTGTAAAGTAGCCACTGATACCAAGACCGCTTCCATGATGGAGTACAATCTCAAAACAAATGAGTAAACTAAACATGAGATGTCAGATTTGAGTCTATAATACTACCCAATATGTTTAAGCCTTAAATAAGGGGGAGCCCTTTAGCCTCTGAAACACGTTGGCGGTTTTGTGTTGCTGCTTGTGCACTCATTCTATTCTATTAAACATTTTTGGACTCTTGTGCTGTCTTGTTTGGCACTCTGATTGGAATTTATATATGTGTATCTTCAGTTCTGGGTTCCCTTGTTTGAGGGACAGCCTGTTTTTGCTGTGAGCAGCCTCATTGGAGCCATTATCCTTTATTACGCTCTGACCGATCTTTATATTTCAGTTAAGCGCCTCAGCTTTACTTGTTCCAGATTCCATAGACTGGCAGAGGTGGTCTGCACGTGGGGGATCTTGCACATGTACAGACAACCTGTGAGTCTCTGCCAGGTCTACAGGACCTGGCAGACCTGTGTCACATCTACACATGCCTGAAATATTGACCTGAAACATTACCTTCTGGGATGAGCAAGTTAGGCATTCCTGGTGGCAGTGGTTGCTGGACCTACACAAGCATTTAGGAAAGTTAAAGTGAAAAAAATCTGCAATTTTGTAAGAATTGGGGGGAGATGAGAGGAATTTTCTTTAATGGGTGAAGGTTCACTTTAACTTTAAATAAAGAGCAGCGAGAAGCTTTGTAAACTTCAAATAACTAGTTATAAGCAAGAGCAATTACAAATAAAAAGCAGATTTTTTTTGCACCTGATTGGATGCTTACAGCTTCAGATGATTGAATAAACTTCTATTTGAATAATGAAAATTCCATTTGAATATTGAATACAAACATCTATAAAATTCTCCAATTCTTTTAGTAAATCATCCCCAATGCATTCATTAAACATCATAGCTGCTTTCACCCGTGTACCTACGTGCAGGTACACAGGACATAAAAGGTGGACACATATGTAATGACTACAGGTTTCATTTATAAACTGCAGTAAAAAAAAAAAAAAAGAAGTTCTTGTATATTAACCTGACTGGTACTCAGCCCTGGAAGGCAGAATAACCGATAATTTGTTTTTAAAAAATGCATAAGCAAATCACTGACCTATGTACACAATGTAGGCTCATAATACTTACATGATGTGATCTCTTGCAGAGGGAACCTAATGCACAAGCTTGCTGGTTTGACAGCTTCCTTCTGTTGGTGTTTGAGGAAGTCGCTGGCCTGCTTTATAGTATGACATTGTGACAGATTATGCCAACAGTCATATCTATTGCATAACAAGGCAAGGTGTGATTAATGCAAACAGATACTTTAATTGACATGAGGACACGTCCTGCTATGCATATCAAGAAATAACCCCTCCTATAATCAAAATGATGTCACTAAAATGTTTTAATGTATTAGATTATGTTGCACTGAAAAATGGAATAACTATACAGGGGGATAAACTTTGTAGTGATGAATCTTAGTGATGAATCCCAGAAAAATAACAAAACCCAATATATTTCAAAATATTATCAAATACAATTAAACACTAAAATCCATAGTTTTATTTGACTTGAGCCAGAACTAGCATAAAAACAGAATACTATGCGGGGGGCCCTGCTTGCACCAGAAAAGTATTATATAAATACTAGACATATGCATGGCCAAAAATGTTGTTTTATTTTCGTTTGGATTCAGATTTGTTTTTTGTTTTCTGAAATTCGGATCCATTCGATATTCATTATTTGGAACTTGAATCGATCTGAAGTTTCCGTTTTCAGATCTATTTGTATGGAGTTTAGTTGTGTTGTTAAAACTGAAAATTAGGAAAAAAAAGCAATGTGCCCCCCCCCCCCATTCAGGAATTTTAGGG